AACAAGCATTTTTCTAGTTTCCAGACAATAACTTGTGTTCATGTGTATGGATCTCTCTGAAATTGTACTGCAAGGTACCATACCACAAGGGAAGGCTGGGATTGAGTTTGGGGGTGATGAATCATAAGGGGGTTCAAAAATTTGGGGGTGGGGGGTTTCCTTTTTTTTCTTTAAAATTTTCCATTTTAAATTGGTTATTTCTGATTTATATATAAAAGCAAATAATAATGATATGGTTTGAATAGGTAAATTAAAAAATTTTAAGTTCTTAGACCACATTCATTCTGTGTCAGAAACCTATGCTGTGTCAAATATTTAATCACAATCCAAATTCAGTGCTGTATCAAGCTTGAATATTGTGTCCATACTTGCCCCAACTGTTCAGGGTTCGACCTCTGCAGTTGTATCAAGCTGCGCCCCAGCGGAGCATTTTATTCGCTCTATTGTGACTTTTCACCAAATTCTTACTAGCAATTGGTTTTTATGAGTAACATAATACATATTACTGGTTGAGCAGATACTGCTTACTCTTCTGAAGCCCCTATGTGCACCCCAAGTTTAAGGTGGGGTTAGTGTTGCTCAATCTTTACTTTTCTGTGTACTGTTGTTAGTCTTTGAGTTTTTGATTGCCCCCCATGGTATTTTCTTCCTCTTTATATATTTATATCATTGGTTATAAATTGGGACCCACAACCTCCAGTACATATATATTTATATCATTGGTTAGAAATTGGGACCCACAACCTCAAGTACTTATATATTTATGTAATTGGTTGGAAATTGGGACCCACAACCTCCAGTACTTATATATTTATGTAATTGGTTAGAAATTGGGACCCACAACCTCCAGTACTTATATATTTATGTAATTGGTTAGAAATTGGGACCCACAACCTCCAGTACTTATATATTTATGTAATTGGTTAGAAATTGGGACCCACAACCTCCAGTACTTATATATTTATGTAATTGGTTAGAAATTGGGACCCACAACCTCCAGTACTTATATATTTATGTCATTGGTTATAAATTGGGACCCACAACCTCCAGTACTTATATATTTATGTCATTGGTTATAAATTGGGACCCACAACCTCCAGTACTTATATATTTATGTCATTGGTTATAAATTGGGACCCACAACCTCCAGTACTTATATATTTATGTCATTGGTTATAAATTGGGACCCACAACCTCCAGTACTTATATATTTATGTCATTGGTTATAAATTGGGACCCACAACCTCCAGTACTTATATATTTATGTAATTGTTTATAAATTGGGACACACAACCTCCAGTACTTATATATTTATGTCATTAGTTATAAATTGGGACCCACAACCTCCAGTACTTAAGCAAGTAGGCTACCATCAGTTGGCTTAATCTACTATTTAACTTTTTCAAGAAGACTTTATGGAAAGATAGTGAACAAATCTTCTCTGAATCTTTTGGCCAATTTCAGCCAAAGACCATTAATGGGATGTCTAGTTTCAAAGATGCAGGTTGACTAAGGTTTCAACTCCCTCAGGCAAAGTTGACCTTAGATAGATTTGGCTTTTTAAAAGGTACTATTTGGTCATAAATCTCTTCTACTGCTTCTGTTCTTATGCATCCTTGGCTTTCAGCGTTCCTAATGAAGGTAATTCCAGAAAAAGCGCCTAGTACAAAAGAAATTAATAAAGTGTTGTTTTCATTTTTTCAAGATTATTTTTGTTGATCCCAACAACAAACCTAATTGCATGAGATAAATGCCAAAAGGATTTAAAATGTAGAAGTTTGCCCTTTTAATGAGTGATGTTATATCCATTAATTTGTAACCGCCTCTGTGGTCTTGTGTTCGCCTCAAGTGCTGAAGGTCGTGGGTTCTAACAGTCTGGGTCAAACCAAAGACTTGAAAATTGGTATTTGCTGTGCTTCTCCGCTAAGCATGCAGCATTAAGGAGTAAGAGCAAAGACTGGTCGGCTCGGAGTCAGAATAATGTGACCGGGTAAGGTGACATGTCTCCCTGTGGACTGTTACCTTGTAAACTAGCACGTTAAAAATCCAACTTATCATGTCAGTCTTGTGCAAAGCAGGATTAATATTCATATAACATTAACATGCTCTCGTCCTGAATATGCATATTAATTTTCCACTGGACGTAAAGCATCCATCCATCATCATCATCTTCCATTAAGATAATTAACAATAGTTTGACAGAAAAAAATTTAAACAATAAAGATGAAATGACCAATTTTTAAACTGTTAAAATTTGTAACTTCTATATCAAAGGAGGAAGTATGATATTAAAGAGCCACTTGCTGTTGTCAATGTAAAAATCAAGGACTTCATAGACAAAAAAGCAACAGATTATCATTGGTCTTTCAAACTCGAGAATGTTTCTCGACCACATCTCATCTCAGGGCTTAGGCCCTCTGATATGTTGTAGATGAGAAACACCCTCTAGTTTGAAAAAACCATTGATAATCTATAATTATTTAGCCCCTGAAATCATAAAAAACAGTAAACTTATTCAAGCCTTTCAAAATTATGTTAAGGTAAGCTGGACTGTGCAGGTATTTTATCTTGTTTTTAATTTACGACATAAGGGATTGATAGACAAAGGGGGAAAATGTGCTTCCATAAAATTGGTAGTGCCTCACTGTACCATATTGGCAGTTGTAACGTGTTTGTACATCTTTTTTTTTCTCTCAGAGGAGTCTGCTATTGGTTGTCGATGTGGTGTGTTAGAAAGGGCTTATAACATGGAAAAATGTAAAAAGTGAAAATCTTTAATTAACAAAAATAAAAATAACTGTTATAAACATTATATAATTTAATCAAATAATATCAAGAATGAAAGCAACAAGGCATAAAAAAATATAACACTCCATTATTTACTCTATCAAAAATGGAAATAAGGCAATATCAATTTGATGAATAGTTTTGTGTACATATTTTGCCTTAACTTTGGATAAAAACACTTAATTTTTCAAGTCAAATGAAATTCCACCTTTTCTTACTTGTAGGAAAAATTGAAGATTTGAACTTGTTGAATTTGAATAAAGGTATTTTTTTTCGCTTCAGAAGAGATCACCTATTTCTTTAATAATGGTTTTCCAAAAAATAAATATTTCATCCTTTTCAAAATTATGTTCTAAACCAGCAAACAAAGTGAAATAAAGAATTAATTTTGTTTCTAGTGGTGCCCTATGATAACATGATTATCATTAGATTGGATAGAATGGACAGTATAAACAGCAGCAGACCAAGGAGAAAAAGAAAATACATTAAAGTTAAAGCTGCTTTAAAAGAAAAAAATATGTAACTTTCAAAGTCATGTTTGTTTAATCAGTGACATATAATACAAGAGAGAGCAAAATAAACAGTCCTCTAGATTTCATTTAAAATGTTAAAGTATGAACTTAAATCTTTTTATACTAAATTGAGCAAAAAAAGTAAATTAAAAATACTGGCCATTCTCTTATCAAGAGATCATTCAGATTTTCAATTTTAAATTGTGTCTGTTTCCTCCCATTAACTTAACAAAATACAACAGGTCATTAAAAACAATAACAACTATATTAACATTAACAATTATATAATTACAAATTCTTATCACAGATATCTTTGACATTATCACATTTAATAAAATTATCAACAGTGTGAACACAAATATCAGGAGTGTGAACACAAATATCAACAGTGTGAACACAAATATCAGGAGTGTGAACACAGATATCAATAGTGTGAACACAAATATCAGCAGTGTGAACACAAATATCAACAATGTGAACACAAATATCAACTTGCAACTTGATTAAAAAATACAGACTATATCTCTCATCAGCCTGAGAAGGTCAGTAAATATACCCAATTAAAAACACATGATGTTAAGAAAGCATCTTTGAATATATTAACTTTGGTCGAAAAAAAAGGTGACAAATACTTAATTACAGACTGTTTAATTTTTAAACAACCAAGACAATTCCTTTCACCATTTATTTCCTAACTAGAAATCAGCAGCACATTACATATCATCAACTATATTTCTGTCTATTCTTTTTTTTGCTAATAAACACAGATGGTGGCACGACCTAGTTATTTTATCATATTATACATGCAGTTTATTGATTCCTTCCGTCATTTCTATAGGCTTATTTTCAGCAATAACCACGATCTATCAACATTTATATTATTAAAGTGCCAGTTGGTCGCATTATACATATAGAATAATTTGTCTACCCTGTTAGTCGTCAGACACAGGTTTTATCCAATAAAAAAATCTTTTAACATCACATGATTAAGTGAATGGCATTAATAAGCAACTCTTTGAATGGTAGGCTTTAATACAATGTTCCTGTTGAGCTAGAACTTATAAGAGCAGTAGTTACAAAGAACAAGATCCCATAAGATTCAACATCATCATCTAGTGAAATTTGTTTGTAAAGGACATATTATTATCCCCTTATGAAACTTTTCACCATCTTGATTCTCAATTTTACAAAGAAAGGCCAATCAGAATCTAGAATCCAATGGAAAATATGTTCTATTCAATATAAAATAAGATTAAAAATCTTGTAAATTGTAAAATAATTTTCATACATTGTTCCTACCACATTTGTAAGTAATAATTACCTTTAACAGTAGTTTAAGAATATCATGTTTGTGTTCAAAAGTAACTATGAAAAGATATAAAAACAATAGATAAAAAGTAGTTGCAATATCCGCATATTAAGGTTACTTAAGTAAAAATTATTATTATATTAAGATCAAAAACATTTCTTCTTGTAAAATTTCACAGTATTATCCAAACTATTTCACTTATTATTTTTAGTAAAAGAAATATATTATATGGTATATATGGTATGTCAGTCATCCTTTTCAACTTTTGAATATCTAAAAAGGTGACAAAATATTCACTCTTTTTTTTTTTAAACATGGATATGAATATATATAAAGCAAAGTTTTTCTAAATTATTTTTTTTCATCATACATTTTCAAAATATTAAAGGGGAAAAGATAATACTCTCTACAATAAAAACTTATTGGGTCAATTAGTGAAAAAGACAGACCTGCCAACTATCCCGATCTATGGGGGATATCCCCCATTAGAGGTGTTGACTTTTTGAAATTCTTTATTACATAAACTGAAGACCTCAAAACAGTCATTCAAATGAGTTAAAAGGGTATTTAAGCACACAAATACTCATACAAACAGTATAGTAGTAGATTAAGAACACTTATGACAATATAAGAGGAGCATCAGGTCCTCTTGTGCTTAAAATCCCCCATGGACATTTTCAAAAGTTGACAGGTATGAAAAGATATTAGATTAGTTCATTGTGATCTATTTTATTGACTTTCCAGTGACATGGCAGCAACATAAACCTTGATTTGTACTATCAGACCTCTTCTTTGTTAAACAACTCTTTGTAGATATGGATTCTTATTCCTATTCCTCTAATTATATAAACTCATCAGAGAAGATACAATTCACATAGCGAACTTTTAGTTGTATGTTTTGTACTCGATATATTTTCATTTTCAAATAAAAATGAATCAACTCTTCTTGTTTCCCAGTGCAAGAAAGTTTTCCCTTGTCAAATCTCTTCCAAATCTGGTAGAGAATTCTCTTTGTATCTTGGCTGGTTAAAGAAACCGTATTCCATTCACTATATTTGTATCTGGACTTCCTTTACAATGTGATAGAGTTCTTGTAAGCTAGCTGGATTATTTTCTTTGTAAATTCTGCCAAGGCAGTCACCATGTAGTACATATCATTGCCATGTGTATCTTCTGAACAAAAAGAATAAATATCAATCATAAACATTACTGTCTCAAAAGTAATTGTGAGATTTAGGAATCCTGTTTGTCATATTTATCAAATATCTTTAATAGCAGGAAATGGTGTATGAACAAATATGGCAACTACTATGAATTCATTATATATCATATAAGGAGCCTCAGTGGGCTAGTGGTTTCAGTAGTTCATCTACTGTGTAATAAGCCTGTCAATACTGAGGTTGTGAGTTTGAACCCTGCACATGGTGATTTTTTTATTCTAATCTACCTTAGGTAATCTACCTAGGAAATGCGTTCGACTCCAATCTTAATTGACTAGGATTTTCAGTTTCCCTGCCTAGGGTGGTGGTTCTCTCTGACTTCCTCTACGAATAAAAACAGACCAAATCATTGCATTTGTTGAAATCCGCTCTGAGAAAGATGCTTAGAAAAATATATGTGATATTTTCAACCTCCATGTTGAAACTGCCACTATCCCAGAAAATACTGTAAACCAGGAGCCTGTAATTCAGTGGTTGTCATTTGTTGCTGTGTTACATATTTGTTTTTTGTTCATCATTTTGTACATAAATTAGGCCGTTAGTTTTCTCATTTGAATACACCAGTTTCACATTTAACTGTGCATGTCTAATCTAATTAGCCAAACTATGAAATCACGCGATAATTTCCGAGAGTTCATCAACTGGGGGCTAACGGTTGATAAGCAGTGACCATGCAGACTTGGAAAAAAAATCATCTGATTAAATGTTTGCGTGTCAAAGCAACATGAGCATCATTTGAATCAAAATATAAAAATTATATTGACGAGACAACTTTAATTATTAACACATTTAAAGATTTTAAAACGGACTACTGCTGTGTTGTTGGTTGCGGTAATATACGATCTGATATGCCGTCTGGCTTTAATTGTACCTTTAATTGTCACAAATTCACGCCAAGGTCGTTCACTTAACGGGAAGAATAAATTAGATAAATAAGCGGGGCTCACTTCATCTACATAGTATTAGGTCATAAATTAAGAAGTCAATTAACACCTTAGCCATGTGGAATCCTCGTTTTACCTTGTACAATCTCACCAGGTGACAATTGATAAAAACGTACCCTTATCCATACATACAGTTACTGATAAAGGGCGACTATTTGATTGATTTATTCAACTTTTGTACACAATTATTTCCTGCATCCTGCAGATTATTCTTTTCCATCCTGCCTGGTCATACTTATTTATTTTTAACTCCTACTAGAATAATAATTTTCTAACCCCCCCCCCCTAAAAATCAAATGGTCATCCCCTTATACAGATATTTAAAAATGTTAACCCTAGTACCTAATTTATTCTTATTTATCATAGCCAGTACGGACCTTAATGCCACTGGTAATATTTTAATAATTTAAGAGGGGGTTATTCAGCAATTTGATCTTTTTTATGGCAAAGCGTGGTAAATATAGGATATTCAATTAATTTTAATGACATGAAAAATGATAAAGTTGAAAATATGTAGAAAATTACTCTGGTTGCTGGGACTGAACCTCTGCATAGAAGAAGATGATCATGAACATAGCTTAGAAATTAAAATGGTATTGAATGCATTGTATTATAGTCTGATGTTTGAAATTAAAGATAAACCTGTATTTCTAATACGTATTTTAAAACTGCTTTGATATCTCTCTTCATTATCATGGCCGTTTAAAATATCACTGACGCAGAAATATTTGAAACGAATGTACATTCAAATAAGAGGATGTGGTATGAGTGCCAATGAGACAACTCTCAATCCACGTCACAATGTATAAGAAGTTAACAATTATAGGTCACAGTACGGTCTTCAACACGGTTCCGAGGCCCTGTCTACTACATGTCAATATTTTCTGTTGGTATTCTGAAAGAATTTTATAAGAGCTATATCTTCCCACATTTTATTTTGATATTCTATCATTCATTTTACCTTCAAATATTCATATGATGATACCTTAAAATTTTTCTCTGTATAGTCCATACAAAATGTTTCATATTTTTACAGCCTGTAGCTTAAAAACAAAACTCGGTGACCTATCATTGTGTTTTTCATATTTTTAACATATATCACAATATATACTACATCTTTGACAAAGGATATAAGGACAAATTCTATCAATTTTGGTTAACACTTCCATGCTACTATTAGTGGAAATTTCGATTATTTAGTAATGCCGGTAACTTGTCCTTGTACCCATAAAATTTCACGTAAAAGTCACCATAATAGTAATGTGTATTTTTTTAAAGAAAATTAAAAGTTCAAGTCTATGATACTTAATCTATATGTAGGCCGTAACCCCTTTACATGCATGTCACAAGCCGAAGATGCAAAAAAATATTTCAAAAAAACTTCGAATTGATACTGGAACAGAACTGATATTAAATGTATTTTCTTTTTATCTAATACTTTTCTCTTTTCAAGAAAAATCAAACTGATATACTGCAATGTACATAGCGCAGTAGGCAAAAGAAAGCAATTACAAGATTAATACTTTTTTAAAAACCATTTTACTAATATTAAAACACAACTGTTAACAACAAGATGACTTATTTTCAGGTTTGAATTGTTTTGTGTCAGGACCTTTTAGAGCTTACTATTCGGTATGGATTTTTTCATTGTCGAGGGCTGTATGGTGATATATAGTTGCTTTCATCTGTTATTTGGGTCTGGTGGATAGTTGTCTCGTTTGCAATCATACCACATCTTTTTATTTTAAATTTGTTAATCAAATAAACGATTATTAATATCTTAAACATAGATGATCTCAAGCATACATCATGAGAGGGAGATGAGTATTATTAGTTGATTTATTATTGTGTTGCTAAATATTAGAGTCAATTTGATGTAGCCCCCTGTCACGTATATCGTTAATTATCGCGGGATTTAAACTCAAACGCGCATAGGATTTCGAGATCAGCGTTATGTGAAACTGGTCTATTGTTTTACATTTGTCATATCGGGGCCTTTTATAGCTGGCTATGCAGTATGGGCTTTGCTCATTGTTAAAGGCAGTACGGTGACCTAAAGTTGTTAATTCTTGTGTCATTTGGTCTCTTGTAGAGAGTTGTCTCATTGGCAATCATACCATATCTTCTTTTTTATATAAAACAAAAAAATCTTTTGGACCTGACATAATATAACAACAAACGATTCCAATAATTCATTACATTATCAAATTTTCCTATGAAATGAAATGTGCATTTAATGGTGATTGAAAATAATAGTGAGAGAGAGAGGATGCATGGTTACAAGGCCAAGTTCATTTTTTTTCCCCTTTTCATCTACATTGGGTGAAAAATAGAGTGGGTGGGAGGATTTAATTGTTCAATTTTTAATTCCTCTGAAACCTTTCCATAATGTGTTCCTCAATTGTAAGAGTAATAAAAATAGCTTATATATACAGAGAATTCTGCATACTTTTTAAAATTATTTTCAAATTCTTAAATAATATTTCTAATTGACAACCATTATTCTTTCTTTAGAAACTCATTGTACGTAAAAAGCAAAAATGAGGTAGAATGCCCTCTTTTAGACTACTTGCATCAATTTTCTTTTGATTCATGCACTATGATCTGTAGTATCTATCAAATGCACTGCTTCAGGAGCATCGGGTTCTGCAAGCTAATTTGCAGTGACTATACCATCCATCCACATCAGACTGATACACCTCTCAGCCAATGCATGCTTTCTCAAAGGCACATTGGTTTGAGAAAAAAAAACAAGTATAAAGAGTACAGAGTGGACATAGGTGAAAAACATAACTGTGTTGAAAATACTAGGGTTAGGATTCATACAAGATGCAAAAAAGCTATGTATATTCCAAACATGAAACATGAACTGAACCAAAAGAAGTTGTTTAATGATTTTCTTGAGTTAGGTGTAGTTTTTTTGGGTCAACCAAATAAGTACAGTTTTGGAGTTAATCTAGTTATATGTTGGTCAACATTTTGTGCTTAATACATATACTGTTCTTAACAGTATAATGAATGCATCGAACAACTTCACATCAAGAAAATTTCAAGTAATGAAAATAATTGTAAGGTTACCAGTACCAGATATTGTTAGCATTTTAAAATGGGGATGAAAATAATATATCAATTTATTTTTATTGGCCTCATCAACAGACAATTAAAGCATTTATACTGATAAGGGACAGGAATCCTAGTATAGAATTAATCTTCTTTAACAATTGTTGACACTGCCCACTGAAATACCACACCTAAGTTCCACTTCCAGGACTATCTTTGCAGGCCAGACAAAACTGATGAAATTGAAGGATCTGAAGAAAATTTTAATTCCATACCTGGATCTGAAAATTCATGCATGTCTAGGATGAGTTCTCTAAACATATCCATCACACTGTTGAAGAACTGAAGCCTCTTCTTCCCACTGTCCATGGCATCCAAGATATTCTGAATCATAGTCATGACATATGAAAGACTAAAACTGTTCTTTACACACACCTGAAAAATAATAACAAGCACATAACAAGATAATGAATTTATACAACATTCACAAAAAAATCATTGATGACTTAAACATCTTCTGATTTTGTTTTGTGATAAGGATTAAAATACTTGGAGTGCAATAAAAAGCAAAAACATAGATTTATGACTCATCATTGGTTTTTCAACCCCTCCCCCCAAAAAAAATAAAAAAATAAAATATACATGTATCCTCAGATGCATTATTGGCAGTTGGAGTTATGATATTGTATGGATTATGATATTTATTCATATCATTTTAACTTTTAAATTACACTGAAATATTTTCCCCAGTTCTACCTTTTTTTAATCGGTATGATATTTTTTTTTGTTTTACCTCTATCCATTTTACTCTTTAAACTGGGTAAAATTGAAGTGAGAACCTTTCTAATTAACCAAAGGCTTCCTTTTTCACAAATGTGAAGCTTTCTGGGACACAAGACAAACAAGGTGTACTGTGAACTGATTATACCCCTACTCTATATTGTTCACTCTATTTTGTAGGAAATACAAAAGTAGTTGGTGAGAAAAATGTGATTTTTTTTCCATATTTGTGCATTACATTGTAAAGATACAAGTTTTTTGGCTAACAGGAAGTTAGAGGTAATAAAATAATTAGATGAAGCATGGTGCCGTATATCAAGAAGCTACAACTTGTTGCAAAGAAATATGTGAAAACAAATTTCATATGCATGCATGACATTTTAAGATACACGTTTTAATCGTTTACTGCAAACAGGCAGTAGAACATTAAAGAACTGAAAACTTGTTCCATAGAAATGCATAACCAGATGAAACTGTATAACATTTATCAAGAAGCTATGACTTGTAACTGTGAGAAAATTGCAACAGAAATGTGTCATGTACAGAGGGACGAACAGTAGTAAACTGGCCCATGGTATATACCCTCCCTTGAAGCAGGGGTATAAGTATACACCAACATTAGCCGGTACCTACCACACAGAAGGATGTTGTTATGCTGGACAGTTCCATTATTCTACCATTAATTGCTTTACTGATCAACATTTTTGATGTTATCACATCACCACATAATATCAACAGGTGTGCAACATTCTCTGCAAGCCACTCATCTGGTGAACCTGAAAAAGTACAAGGACAATTTCACTTACAAATAAATCATCTAAAACATGTTATTTCAGAAATACTTTGATGGTTCTCTGGATTCATTTATTTTCATACAAATCAATTTTTGTGGTTGGAGAAAAATTTGTTATTTTGAGAGTATAAACTTATTTCATGGTTTATTCATTTGCTCCTATTAAAATAACCCCAAAATTTGTTTTATATTTATAATTTAATAATGAAGTATTGAAAGCAATGAATATTACCACAATTACAATGTATTGTATTACTAACAGCTTTTCCAGAAATAAATGTATTGGGGAGTTGGAGAGCACTTTTTACCTAGCCCTGCCATGCATAAAATTTTAATTGATTATTTCATATTACTATTAAGTCTATCTGTCTAAAATAACTTTTATCCATGGAATTTTAATAAAAATACCTTTCAAACCCCCCCCCCCCCCCAATTCAATTAATTCTGAAAAAGCCCTACCGTAGAAAGGCTTGTATAGTTCGCAGTGGTACATAGTCCGCACCCCCTTCTCCCCACTAAATTTTAGGTAAAAAAACTTTTTGTAACTGTTAGAAAAGGTCTAATGAAACTCCGGTAATTTCAAATCCTGTGCGGTCGTTTGCGGTATTTTCTTGGAAAAACCTGTTTTCCATCATCAAACAGAAGCTGAAACTGCTTGTTAATGATTCTAGAACGCATCATGATTGTTAAATAAGTTTAATTCACTTAAAAAACAATTGAGAAACTTGTGTATGTTTAAACAGGAAGTTTAAAAAGCACGTGTAAAAGAAGAAATTAACCGGTGAAAGTCGAAATCCGTACATAACAGATATCACTATAATACGACTTTGAAAGTAAAACAGTTCCATCCTTTTGTAAAACAGTCTTTAATATATCTATCACATTAATGTTTGAAGGGTCTTAAGCTAATACAAACCATATTAGTCAGTATGAAACACCAAAACGGAACGAACAATAACCGATTTAGTTTTGTAGTTTACAAATTCTAAGCTGGTTTACGGTTGTCTTTTTCACTATGTTTGTATCGTTTCAATAGAGCAGATACCAGTTTATTTCAACCAATGCATTGAAAAGAAACGAGAAATTTGTAATGAAAGGTTTAGTTTTTATATTTATCAGTATTAATTTGATATTGAATAGAAATAACTTATTAATATGGATGAGTTAAAATTATTAGTTTGAAAAATGATAAGAGCGCCCTCTACAATAGAAACAACAAAGATGGCGGAACGTAAACAAACCACCTCGACCGCGAAATTGAAATTTTTCTCTTATTTCTTACTTATTGTACTCTATAGTCCGCACCCCGTCTGGAAGGTCCAATTTTGGAGAATAAAACCGCGGACTATACAACTCTTTCTACGGTAAGTAATAAATTATCTCCCTTTGTCATATTTTTGAAATTCCTTCTATAAATGAAATATGACTGAATCATTTGATATTTTTATAATTAACTGGTTTTTCGTCAATAATTTTATTTACTGTTGCAATATATGCAACTTGAATGAGATGTCTTCATTGCTGACGATTGTCCTTTTTTTTAACATAAGACTCACTTGTGAGTTCATCTAGAACACTTATTATATTGTCTTCTGACCATTCTTTAGGGTGACAATGTAAGATCTGTAAGGCATTAGCTAACTCTCCGAAATGTTTGGCTGACTGTTCTGAATCAATTGGTGTATTCTCACACAACTCATACCATAATATTTCCTCTGAAATTAAAAAAAAAATATCGTCAATTAAAATTCTTTGGAGGACTACAGATGCATGCTGGTAAATATAATGTTTAATTTTGCCATATATGCAAGCTTGAAATATATTATAGTATGTTAACTATAACAACATATACTGTTCATTATTTTATTTTCTTAATTAACTATTTTATTACTTTAATCAGCAAACATTTCCACCTATAAAATCAACCTTGATGATAAAAGTATGTAGGACACTTACAGATGAAGATTAGTTCTAACATCTGTATAAATTAAATAAGAAGTGTCCAATATTTAACAGGATCACACACAAAAATTCCTTGACTCCTTTATTTATTACCAATGTTTGATCCACAGTTGGAAACAAAAATTGCTTCAAATTATGATTTTAGATTATTAGAAATAAATTTTGGGAAAGAGCTTTTGCAATAAATGAATTCCGTTCATTATATCCTGGCTCAATTCAGAATATTCATGTTCAAATACATTTTCCAATGGATTCAGTATAAAGTCCTATCAACAGTGAAAACACTATTCTTATTCTATACAGAGTAATAACAAATGAACTTTTACTTACCTTCTAATGTTGGGCCATACAGAATGTATAATAATCTAGACTGGTGAACCATTGGCCAGGGCTTCAAGATTCTTGTCAACCAGAAAGCTCTTTCATTTATAGATTGACAGTGGTCTAAAAATATTCTCCTAAAGTAACATCTGATTTCATACTCACATCTGCTATGTAAACCTGGAAATAAATACAATAAATTTTAAATTCATTCTGCAAATTACACCAATCTTGGTAATATACATGAAATGGCTATATTCTAAGACTAGAATTTTTAAAAAATAATCTGATTAAATGCTAAATTTAGAAATTAAAGGTAAATTTAGAAAAAATACTAAATGCAAAATGTCTTTTCCCCAAAAATATTTAAAACATCACCAAGGCTGCATTCCTGTCAAAATATTTTTCTGTAACGTCTTATATCTTGGACAATGTATGTTGTGGCATTGCAATGTCATTCTTATTTTACTCTTAACATTAAGTTACAGACGTTCAACATGACAATGGCAATTTTTATGTCATGAGGCATGTGGACAATTTATCTAATCACTAAGTTGTTCTTTGGGACTGACTAAAAATATTCTGATACTGAATATTGATTATTATTATACAGTATTTTTAACATATATAAAAATTACCCTAAGCGCTTTACAACATATATCAATTCACATATACAATATTTATTTACAATAGAATATGAAAGCCCATGACAAAAATTTAGCATATGAGAAACAATCACTAATAACTTTTAAAAGATGATAAAGAGATGTTAAAATTTATAAAAATCTGATTTTAAATATAATGCATATAAGCTATTAAAATTTACTGATTAACAACAAAATTTAAAAAAATGAGCATGGTTAAATAAAAAGACAATAAAACCGTACAAATAAAAATGAGTTAAAATTCAAAAATATTTAGTTAAAAATTCAAAAATTACAATATGAGGTAGAAATATCTTAAAAACTATGAAAAAGCATGTCTGAACAAATGAGTTTTCCAGTTTTTCAGTGTTCACAGAATGTATGTTTTGTAGTTCACATGGCAAATCATTCCCCAGAACGGCAGCTGCTTTGTGGAATCTTCTTTCCCCATATGTTGATAAGAGTAACAGTATTGCTAAGAATATTACTTCATTATAATCACAACTATGTTATGTTGTTTTTTATTTATTGTTAGAGTGCTGGCATGTAGCATGAGGTATCATAAAACTGAAGAAAGAGGATGTTTCAAATAAGAGATGTGCAAACTAAACTATATCTCTGTCAGATTGTTCCATTTAAAAAATACCTAGTACCCAGGGAAAGAACTTTGAAAATAGAGTAAACCCCCATAGCAATTTGGAGATATACATTTTAAACTTATATGACCAATAATATTATATTTCACACCCAGCCATAGGGGTAAATTCAAGTTGCCTTCCCTGGGTCCCATGTATGTTTTTATGGGACAGTCCTTACCATGAGATTTATTACTTGTCATGTTTACAATGATAATAAAATGCTCCGCTGGGCGCAGCTTGATACGACTGCAGAGGTCGAACCATGAACTGTTGGGGCAAGTATGGACACAACATTCAAGCTTGATACAGCACTGAATTTGGATTGTGATTAAATATTTGACACAGCATAGGTTTCTGACACAGAATGAATGTGGTCTAAGAACTTAAAATTTTTTAATTTACCTATTCAAACCATATCATTATTATTTGCTTTTATATCTAAATCAGAAATAACCAATTTAAAATGGAAATTTTTAAAGAAAAAAAAAGGAAAAACAGAAAAAAAATCCCTCCCCCAAATTTTTTGAACCCCTTATGATTCATCACCCCCAAACTCAATCCCAGCCTTCCCTTTGTGGTATGGTACCTTGCTGTACAATTTCAGAGAGATCCATACACTTGAACACAAGTTATTGTCAGGAAACTAGAAAAATGCTTGTTTTTTGGCCCCTTTTTGGCCCCAAATTCCTAAACGTTTAAGGCAATTACCACCAAACTCAAACCCAGCTTTCCCTTCGTGATATGGAACCTTGTAGTACAATTTCATATAGATCCATACACTTACACACAAGTTATTGTCCTGAAACTAGAAAAATGCTTGTTTTTGGCCCCTAATTCCTAAAATTCTGAGGCAATTACCCCCAAAATCAATCCCAGCCTTCCCTTTGTGGTATGGTACCTTGCAGTACAATTTCAGAGAGATCCATACCCTTGAACACAAGTTATTGTCTGGAAAATAGAAAAATGCTTATTTTTGGCCCCTTATTCCTTAACATTTTGGGTAATTACCCCCAAACTCAATTCCAGCTTTTCCTTTGTGATATGGAACCTTGAAGTACAATTTTAGAAAGATCTATACACTTACACACAATTGATTATCATGAAACTAGAAAAATGCTTGTTTTTTGCCCCTTTTTTGGCCCCTAATTCCTAAAATTTTGAGGCAATTATCCCCAAAATCAATCCCAGCATTCCCTTTGTGATATGGAACCTTGTGGTACAATGTCAGAGAGATGCATACACTAACACATAATTTATGTCTGGAAGTTACAAAAATGCTTATTTTTGGCCCCAAATTCCTTAACTGTTGGTACCATAATCCCCAAAACCAATCCCAACCTTCCTTTTGTGGTATTGAACCTTATGGTAAAATTTCATAGAGATCCATTCACTTAAACTAAAGTTAGAGTGCGAAAACCATTGTGTCTTCGGACGATGACGATGTCAACGTCATACCAATATACGACGGTCGTATTAAAACTATCTTCAATACCTGGTTTCGAGTTGACAATCATTTTAACATTTTTGTTGACAGCGGTATGACTGTTAAGTATGTCAAATGTTCTAACACATTCTGAATCATCCCATCCGGCTATTACAGTGTGAAGGAATTTACCAAAACATGTCAATGATATACAACGGGACATCTTTTCACATTTACAAGCATTTCCACACATCATCTGAAAAAGAAGAAAAGTAAATACTTAAACTTGTAAGCAAAAGAAAAAGTAGAAAAGTAAATACTTGAACCTGTAAGCAAAAGAAAAAGTAGAAAAGTAAATACTTGAACCTGTAAGCAAAAGAAAAAGTAGAAAAGTAAATACTTGAACCTGTAAACAAATGAAAAAGTAGAAAAGTAAATACTTGAACCTGTAAGCAAATGAAAAAGTAGAAAAGTAAATACTTGAACCTGTAAGCAAATGAAATAGTAGAAAAGTAAATACTTGAACCTGTAAGCAAATGAAAAAGTAGAAAAGTAAATACTTGAACCTGTAAGCAAATGATTTGATTTTAATTTTTGGAATTTTAACGCCACTTTTGGGCTATTACATGGCGGCCAGTTTTTATTGGTGGAGGAAGCCGGAGTGCCCGGAGAAAACCACTGACCTTCGATAGGAAAACTGACAATCTTAGTCAATTAAGATTGGAGTCGAGTGCACCTGCACGAGCGGGGTTCGAACTCACAACCTCAGTGTTGACTGGCTAGTGATTACAGTAGTAACTACTTAGACCACTCGGCCACCGAGGCCCCTGTAAGCAAATGAAAAAGAAGAAAAGTAAATACTTGAACCTGAAGGAAATGAAAAGGAAGAAAATAAATACTTGAATCTGTAAGCAAATGAAAAATATCAAGTACTTTATTTGTATTTTTTTGTGTGTTAATTCATTTTTACCAAACATGCATTTAAATATAGATTTTACCACTACACTGTATCACATAAGTTTCAGTATTAAAATTTTTTTCTTTTATGTTTTTTTGACAAATGTATGCAATCTTTGTTATTTTTTGTGTGTGTGTGTGAATTATTTTTTTTTTCAAATATATACAAAGCAGCTTCGCCTAGAGCGCATGATCATGGATTTTTCTAGCATTCCACTTAGGTTCGGTATTAGGACCCATTCCCAATGGCAAAACTCCTACATTTTCCCCAATTTCAGCAGGAAAAATTCCCAAATTCAAGTCAAACAAAGGGAAATTCTTTTTAAACAAAGTCCAATTCTCAATCTGAAGATCATTCAGTACTGGCAGCTCCTGGCGCGGTGGGGGGGCACTTCAATACTTAATTGATAGGGGGTGTCGCTGGGGTTCTGTTACCCCACCCTTTTCATATAATTTAGATCTTAAAAATGTATACCTTTTCATATATTGCGTAGGTAAAAATGTAACCTTTTCCCATATTGGTTTGGTTTCGTGTAGTGTGCTGGAAAAATTGAATATTTAAGGTTTAGTTTCTGTATGTAATGTTGACTTACGGCCAGACTTTCGGCTGTGAAAAAATGACAGGGCTTTTCATATACAAGTATTTGGAACTTTATTGACCTAAGCATGTATTTCTGATAGTTTTCCCCACCTTTTCACATATTTTCAAGCTGGAAAGTGTGACCTATTCCAGCAGCACGTCCGATCACCTTGTATATAAGAAGTGGCCCCTCCAGAGGGCAGCTCACCAAGTCCAAAAAGAAAACAATAAACAAAATGAAGAAATGAATGGCAATCATGTAATTTCTTACTTTATATTCACAAAAAAAAGATAATTTCTAATGAACTGTACACACTAAAACTCTCATCCGGTTATTTTTCTGTTTTCCCAATTTCATTGAAAATCGTGTCAAAAATTCCCCAAACTGCCCAGGGTCCTTTTTCCCAAAATACATAGAAAAACCCCTGATGATACACCTGAATTATGCATTTTAATTTTTACATAAAATACTATATTTTGAATGATCTAGTCAAAGGATATCTTTAGACATATAAATATTAGGTCAAATATGACTGTTAAAAGTCCCATAACTCTGAAACAGCAAACCAGAAACTTTTCAAAAGCAAGTCTTGATTCACAAATGGCCAAAACTGTAAAGTTTGTAATAAATTGGTCTAAGCATACTACAGCTAGTGCATGAGATGTCAAAAAGTCCTTTTATTAATCTGTCGATAAAAGTACAATAACTCTGCACTCTTACTTTCACCAATTCCAACAATTATGTAAAGTTTACAATAAATCATTCCAAGCACACTAAAGTTATGGTACAATATAAATATAAACACCAAAAGTTTTATTTCTGCAAATTTATTGATTAGTTTAAGTAAACAATGACATCAAAAGCACTATTTTGTGTCAAAGAAGAGCTACTTTTACATACGTTATAAATTGGAGGGAGTGAATTGGTGGTCTGACATCTAAAGAGACAAAAAAGTTTATCAGAAGTCTTTTGTTTTGCTTTATTCTTAATCCTTGGTCAATTTGTAGTAAAACAAATCCTATCTGAGCATAATGCGACTTATATTGGAAAATTCACAGCTCAGTTTAAACTGACTGTAATGTATGACTTTAATAGAAAATACTTAAAAATTTAATTTCAGACTACAGGAACATAAACTTTCAATATCAAGATCAATTTTGGTTGATTTTTCCTTATTTGTCCTACTACTTTAAAGAACCACAATTTTTACAATGAGTTTAGTAAAAAATCAAAGGTACTGAAGTGCCTAGGAATATTGACCCCCTTTTTTTCATCAGGTGTCAGTAATGGACTATTAATTGATCAATAATGCAGTTATGGTCATGAAACAATTTTTATTTATTATTAGTCAATAAAATTTAAGGTAGAAAACTTTCATTTGAGACAATTTATGGGATTGGGGAAAGTTTATTCAGTGTTATGCTATCTGCCAAATACATGGAATGACGCAATGATATAACGGGTAAAATTCAAATAATTTCATAAAATCTTCATAACGACAATTTTTTTTTTGTGGTAAACAACCTATGTTTTTATGTTTAATACCACAGAAACAACTTACTGTGCATTCATACCAATTTCAGACATTTTTTTATATGAATGCATATAGTAAGGGTGGGAAAAGCTAAAAATAGCACAGTTTCAGGTTTAAGGCTCTAATTTTGCAATATGTGACTTTTTTGCCAAAAAAAAAAAGGTTGAAATGTGACTACTTGCAATTTAAATGATCAGTTAAGACAAAATAATCAATTGTTTTCTGATTTTTTGGTTTCACCACTTTTCGCTTTAAAGGTGTCAGACCACCAATTCAAAATCCCTGTCTATTCAACCAAATTTTGCAATTTTCACAGCTTTTTTAATATTTTACCTTAAGTTTAACTTCATAGAAACTAGGTATATCCTGAATTGTACATGTATCATCTTTCTACATGCCAAATTTCAACCCATGTTTAAAGTCTTGTAAAAAAGAACTGTCTTTCAGGAGACAAGTACTAGTAAAATAACCCCTAGTTTTCTGGAAATCTTAAATTAGTATACTATGGAGCGCATTAATCCTCAAGTTTTAATGCAAACTCATAGACAAGTAAATTTTGGCTCAAAATGGTCTAAATATAAATATAAACACCAAAAGTTTTATTTCTGCAAATTTATTGATTAGTTTAAGTAAACAATGACATCAAAAGCACTATTTTGTGTCAGAGTAGAGCTACTTTTCATACGTTATAAATTGGAGGGAGTGAATTGTTGGTCTGACATCTAAAGAGACAAAAAAGTTTATCAGAAGTCTTTTGTTTTGCTTTATTCTTAATCCTTGGTCAATTTGTAGTAAAACAAATCCTATCTGAGCATAATGCGACTTATATTGGAAAATTCACAGCTCAGTTTAAACTGACTGTAATGTATGACTTTAATAGAAAATACTAAAAAAATTAATTTCAGACTACAGGAACATAAACTTTCAATATCAAGATCAATTTTGGTTGATTTTTCCTTATTTGTCCTACTTCTTTAAAGAACCACAATTTTTACAATGAGTTTAGTAAAAAATCAAAGGTACTGAAGTGCCAAGGAATATTGACCCCCTTTTTTTCATCAGGTGTCAGTAATGGACTATTAATTGATCAATAATGCAGTTATGGTCATGAAACAATTTTTATTTATTATTAGTCAATAAAATTTAAGGTAGAAAACTTTCATTTGAGACAATTTATGGGATTGGGGTGAGTTTATTCAGTGTTATGCTATCTGCCAAATACATGGAATGACGCAATGATATAACGGGTAAAATTCAAATAATTTCATAAAATCTTCATAACGACAATTTTTTTTTTGTGGTAAACAACCTATGTTTTTATGTTTAATACCACAGAAACAACTTACTGTGCATTCATACCAATTTCAGACTTTTTTTTATATGAATGCATATAGTAAGGGTGGGAAAAGCTAAAAATAGCACAGTTTCAGGTTTAAGGCTCTAATTTTGCAATATGTGACTTTTTTGCCAAAAAAAAAAGGTTGAAATGTGACTACTTGCATTTTAAATGATCAGTTAAGACAAAATAATCAATTGTTTTCTGATTTTTTGGTTTCACCACTTTTTGCTTTAAAGGTGTCAGACCACCAATTCAAAATCCCTGTCTATTCAACCAAATTTTGCAATTTTCACAGCTTTCTTAATATTTTACCTTAAGTTTAACTTCATAGAAACTAGGTATATCCTGAATTGTACATGTATCATCTTTCTACATGCCAATTTTCAACCCATGTTTAAAGTCTTGTAAAAAAGAACTGTCTTTCAGGAGACAAGTACTAGTAAAATAACCCCTAGTTTTCTGGAAATCTTAAATTAGTATACTATGGAGCGCATTAATCCTCAAGTTTTAATGCAAACTCATAGACAAGTAAATTTTGGCTCAAAATGGTCTAAATATAAATATAAACACCAAAAGTTTTATTTCTGCAAATTTATTGATTAGTTTAAGTAAACAATGACATCAAAAGCACTATTTTGTGTCAGAGTAGAGCTACTTTTGCATACGTTATAAATTGGAGGGAGTGAATTGTTGGTCTGACATCTAAAGAGACAAAAAAGTTTATCAGAAGTCTTTTGTTTTGCTTTATTCTTAATCCTTGGTCAATTTGTAGTAAAACAAATCCTATCTGAGCATAATGCGACTTATATTGGAAAATTCACAGCTCAGTTTAAACTGACTGTAAT